AGGGCGCAAAAACTTCTTGCGCCGGCCCTGGATATATATATATTTTTAAATATTGCAAGTCTTCCAGCAAGACCAACATCAAAACCAAGACTGAATTTGCAAGACCAAGACCAATATCAAGATTCAAGACTGCCATAACATAAAAGTATGAAAACTGTTCTTATATATTCTGTCAATGGATAATATTAAACAATCATCGTTAAAATTAAAAATACATAAACTTATGCAGGTGGCAAAAATTTGGATATATCTTTCAGTATTTCCTCAAACGGAACGCTTCCGTTTAATGTAGACATAATCTCTGCCAAATATGAATCGAGGAAGTTTCTCTTAGTCTCTTCGTTTCTTATCTCCCCATTTACCACTTCCCCACATCACATCCTCTCAACATTCTGGGTATGAAATCCATTTATAGGATCCACTGATCCACAAAATTATATTTGTCTATTTATTTGCAGTATAATAGAAAATACGAGAAATATAAGTTGTAGGCGTCAACTAAACCTGCGTGTCGGGAGAATACGCGGGTTGGCGGACGTCAACTAAACCAGTGTCCAGTACCATTTTTAAAAAAAATTAAAATTTAACTTTTGGAATCATGTATTTTTCTTGCACTTTTTGAATCAAGATCATAAAAAAATAAAAGAGCCTTAGACAACCAAAAAATTGCATGTCTTGTATGTTGTTAAATTATTATAAACTATAGGTATTTATTGTTGCAATAGCATCGAAAAAAATTGTTTTCCGTTTTACAGATTCATCACATGGATAAGATCAGCAAATGTTTTAGAAATGGTTTAATATTTTTCAATGTATAACATAAGTATTAATAGTATTATTATCTAATGTAGATACAACTTACTCCTAAATAACGTTTATGTGTCTAATAAGAGGATTAAATAATACTGTAAATATCAAATTTGTATCCACAGAAAATAAAAGAACATTAGGTACCAATGTTAACAATAATTATTATTAAAATGGCAATACAATAATAGTGCATAAACCAATACTATTCTAAACGTATATTTCCTTCTCCATTTATGTCTGCAATTAAAAAAATATGTTATTGATGCAGGTTGACCAGGTTGAAGTAACCTATTAATTATTAAAATCACTCTACATAATATTGTGCACAATACCATATTATCACAGATTATATAAATATAATAATTATATTTAATTATAGTATTATTTATAGTTTTATATAAATATAATCTGTGATATACCGTATAGGTAGGTATGTATATCTAAAAAATCCTATACCCAGTGGCGTACAATCAAATTTGCTCTGGGAGGGGTTTAAAAATAATTACTAACACTAAAACCTTCTCTTTAAAACTACCCATTTTTCTAAAAATTAAACACATTACTCGTATAAATATTAATAGGCAAAATAACAAAACAAATACAAAGGTTTACATAACTCATGGCAGTTAAATACTATTTAATTTGCACATAGTATATACGAGTACAGAATAGTATAATATATATTATATTATTAATTATTTATAATACAAATTCTATCTAGTCTCCTTTTTTTATTGGATAGTTCAACCAGCACTTCATCAGGAGTAATTGTATCGTTTTTGTTGATCGAGAGCATAGCTAGACCATTAAGTCTTCCCTATTAAAATTAATTACAACATTAAATTAAGTTGAATCATTATAATCATTAATACTATTATTT